CGCCCGCCGCCATGGCCGGCTACGTGCCCGGCCTGCAGCCGGCCACCCGCAACCAGGAGCAGGAGTTCGTGCAGGCCTACGAGGACGTGCTGGAGCGATACAAAGGTACGGGCGGCGGCGCGGCCGGCGGCGGCTCCGCTTGCCCCGGCGCGGCCGGGCGGCGGGCGCCCCTCGTGGTGCGCGGGGGCTGCCGGCGCCTGCCGGGTGCCGGGGGGCTGCAGGTCTCCCCTCGGTGTCCCCGGTTGGGCTGCAGGGGATGGGGCTCCCCATCGGGGTACCGGGGGGGGGGCGGTACCTGCCGCGTGTCCCCCGTTGAGCGGCGGGTCCCCCTCGATGGGATATCGAGGGGTCCCAGCCCCCCCATATCCCCTGAGGGACGTGCGAGCCTGGGGACCCCCGTGTCCCCTGCGCACAGTGCCCCGTGCGGCGGCCGCGGGCTCCCGGTACCCCCGGTGAGCGGCTCCTGGGGCAGGGGCCGCCGGGCTCCCCGTCCCGGGGTCCTCGCGTCCCCTCCCTCCCCCCCCAGCCTTGAGCTCCCTGCGGAGCCCCCTTCCCGCCCCCAATCCCGTTCCCAGCGCCCGTCCTCCCCATCCCGGTGTCCCCGTCCCCTGCTTGGTCCGTCCCGGCGCTCCGCAGGGACGGGGGCCGCCACCCCCCGGCGCAGCCGTGAGTGTGCAGTTTTCCTGCTGGGAGCTGCACGGATTTGCAGTATTTATTTTCCCCCTATTTTTAATATCTTTCTGCCCCGGTGCCGCAGCGCCAGCCCTGTCTCGGAGCCCAGATTCCGACCCCAGGGGCTCTTCACGAGTGCTCACTGTCACCGTCCCCTTTCCCCCTGTTTTTTTTCCCTGCGCGCATGGAGAAAGGGAAAGAATGGATTTCCCCGGCGACGGAGCTGAGCGCCGCGCGCAGCCGCCGGCCTCCTTTCCCAGGGGAATAACAACCTCTGCTGGGGGCATCTTGGAAAGGGGCCGGATACTTCAGCTCCGGTCCCTGTGAGTGCTTTGGAAACTTTATTGATAAAAAGGCTTTTGGAACTAATGGGATTGGGGGCGGGAAGTTCCCGGGGCGCTGGAAGGTGAAGCTGAGGCTCTGTTTTGGGTTAGGAGCTTTGGCTGCTGGAAGCTGAGAGTCTCCTGGTGATATCCCGCTGGTGTTGTCTGTGCTGTCGGGAAAACTGGGGTTGCTACTGTACAAACGCCTTTTGCTCCTGCAGCTCCCATCTCTCCAGAGGTTTTTGGAGCCCCTGGGTCTGGGTGCGATAGACCCGGAGTTGGTTGACGTGTTGCCCCATCTCTGCTCTCCCTTCCCTGGCTCCTTCCGCTGGGAATCAGTTTTTCCTGCCCAGAACAAGTTTTCCGCTGGCTGGTTCCCCTCCCCCTCTATAATCCTGCAAAACCAGAGGTTTCTCAGCGGAACGGAGCCGATGGCGGGGGGCTACCTGGCTGGGAAGCGGAGCAGCGGCTGGGAATGTCGCCGCGTGGAGCCGGTGAGCGGCCCGGGGCCACCGGCCGCAGCGCAAACACGAGGCCGACGCTCGACGCTGCTCGAGCCGAGAGCGCAAAGGCCCCGGGAAAACCTCTCCAACGGGGGCTAGCGAAGGAGGACGGCAGCGCTGAACGGGGCCGGGGCGAGCGGCGCCCGAGGGCGAAGCCGATGGAGGCGGCGGCGCTTGGGCCTCGCCACGGAGGCCGGCGTGGCCGCGCGGTGACTCACGGCGCGCCGGAGCCGGCCGCGGGGTTGCCCAAGGCCTGCGGTGCTGCCGCGTGCCGGGACGCGCCGGGATGGGCGCGAGCGGAGGCCGCGCTCCCGGTGCGGAGCCGCGGCGCTCGGAGCAGCGCCCGGTCCCCGCCACGGCAGCGTTTGGCTGCGGGCAAAGAGCAGGGTCGTGTTTTCCGGCTATGGGGCCTTTTAAACATTAACCACTTGGGCTTTCTTGGCAAAAAATCGTCGCCTTTCGGGAACTGGCTCTTTTGGGCACGCAGGGTAGAAGTCGGTGGTGCTGGTGCCAGTGTCACCTCGTCCTCCCGGGGACAGCAGCAAAGCAGGAGCCAGAGCCGGTCTCCTTGCTGGGCCAGGCCCTGCCTGTCCCTTCCCAGCTCGGATCGTGTCCCTGCTGTAGGAGACACAACTGCACGGGCTCCGTGTCCCGCTCGGGGCCTTCAGAGCCGCCTCGTGCGCACGTCCCCGTCCCTGGCGCCTCCTGCAAAGATAAACATCATTCCCCGGCGGTGATGAGCGGCGCGCGGGGCCGGCCGCCGCTCCTCACGTGGCGCGGGAGGAAGCTGCTCTTCCTCCTCATGGCGCGGGGAGGAGGGGAGCCGAGACGGGCACGAGCAGCACAGGGACTCGCTGGCGGAGAACCACGGAGCTCCGGCTTCTCCCTGGCTTGGGAAGACCAGGGGCGGCGGTTTCGGGGTCGGGCCGGCGCCCGTGGCAGGTGCCGCTTCTGTTTGTTTTGGCCGGCAGGGAGCCGAAGGCGGCGGCTCCTCGGGCGCCGGGGCCCGCCCTGCCTCCCTGTCCGTGTCTCCGCCGCCTTCGCGGCCGCGGCGGCGTCACGCCGAGCGCGCCGGGGCCTCCCACGGCCTCCCGCGCCGACTCGCAGAACCTGCTCGGCGCGGATGGCGGAGGCTGCCGCGGGCCGCCCCGGACGAGCCTCCCATTGCTCCTTGGGGCTCGTCCCGCTGCTGCCTCCGGGCCAGGCTCGTTTTGGGGGGTTTCCTGGGAAAACTGAGAGGGGATCTGGTTAATGTGTATGAGGACATGAAGCAGGAATGTAAGGAGGAAGGGGCCAAGCTCTTCTCAGTGGTGGCCAGGGACAGGACAAGGGGCAATGGGTACAAGTTGAAACCCAGGCAGCTCCATCTCCACGTGAGGAGGAACCTCTGCACTGTGAGCCCTGGCACAGGCTGCCCAGGGAGGCTGGGGAGGCTCCTGCTCCGGAGGTCTTCAAAACACACCTGGATGCCGCCCTGTGTTCTGAGTGTCCCTGCTGGAGCAGAGGGTTGGAATGGATGATCTCTGAGGTTCCAACCTCAACCATTCCGGAATTCTGGGAAATCCCCTGCTGTGGTGCAGGAAGGAGGCTGGCGGGGGCTGTGTCCCCCGTCCTCGCTGGCTCCGTGTCACGGCAGGGAAGACCCTTGGCTGCTAGCGAGTGCCTTGATGTCTTGGGGCAGCTCTCAGGGATATGCACGGGACCCGAGCGCTCGCGGGCGGCCACGCTGCTCCGGGGCTCCCTTTTCCGGGGCTCCCTTTTCCGAGGTGCCTGGTGCTGCTTGCTTGCAGTCCCTCGGATCTCTTCCTTTTCAGCCCACGCTCCAGGGCCCGAAGGGAATCTCTGACCTCTGTCTGCTGGTTTCTGGCCAATCTCCTTTCCAGGCGAGTCGCGTTTTGTGTCAGTCGAGACGGCTCTGGACATACCACGGCCGATGCCAACGGTGCCGCCTTCCAAGGGAAGTCTGAAGGAACGCGTTTTTTTGC